TGCGCCGCGGGCGGCTGCCGCGGAGCGCCCCGCAGGTAAGCGCGTCCCGGGCGCGACGCCTCGCTGCTTTCTGCCGTGTGTCTGTGTTGGCTTTGATTTGGGGTTTTTTTGTTTTTATTTTTTTCTTGTTTACACGGCACGCTGAAGCTGGAAGGTACTGCGCTCCCAGCACGTGCAGCCGCAGGAGAAGGAACCGGGAGATGTCCGCGTAAAGCAGGTACAGCCAGCGCGCTGCCTCCGGGGTGCCCCTCCGCCGGTGTGCCCGGTGTGCCGTGCGCTGCTGAGCAGGGTCTGCAGCCAAAGTTTAGGTTTACATCTTTAAGGTGTTTCCTTTATTTACTAATTAAAATAGATTAAGAAAAAATTACCACCTGTTTTAATTAATCTGACTCAGTTATTGTTAGTATGCTTCTGGTATTTTTGCTTGTGAATAAAAACTGCACTTGGGCTTAAGAGGACTGAAAGGATGTGATGACTATCAAACTAGTGACAAGTGGCAGAAAGTGTTTGTTCAGGTGGTACATTTGCAGTATAGAGTTTTTGTCTGTGGTAAATGAGCTTATATGGGGTAAAATGATGGTATTATTATTGTTATTATTTTCCTCCATATTCTGCCCTGCTGCTGTGAAACATAAACATGGGTATGCTGGTAAATACCACTCACTGTGAGGAGAATAGGAGGAATAACACTAAGCATTAGGTTAATGTTTTAGTTTTCTTATCTGTTACAAAACTGTGTTTGAAGTACATTAGGGTGGCTGATCTTGACCATGTTCTGGTTTTTTTTTGTTCTGTTTTTCTTCTCAGAAGGAAGAATCAAACTTTGCTGCAAAGGACTGGTGTGATGAAGCAGATGAGTGGGGAGGCTGTGATGGAGCAGAATCTCCTGCATGTGCCTCCCGTCAGCTGCTTGGCTTAAACGAAGTGGAGAGCAGCTCCTTGTCCAGAGAGGTGGAGTGTGCATCCCAGTTCCAACAGCTTCGCTTGGCTGAAGCTGCAGATGGGTCAGGTTCCCTGAATGCACATCCTCCAGCCAGAGGGGAAGTGGTGACAGCCTCAGCTGGCTCAGCTCCTGTGTTCCAGCCCTTCTACATTAGTGTGGTGGATGAGGAAGACTACGCTGGTTTCCTCGATACCACTCACGCAGATGAGCTGTTGAAGGAGTATCAGCAGAGAGAGGGTGTTGATTTGGAACAGCTGATGTCAGAGAGGTGAGAACAGGGCTGGATTTCATGCTGAAACTGAAGGCATTATGGAGTTCAAATGCTGATTGATACTTTAAATATAACTCTCAATAAATTTGAATGCATTTTGCTCATAACTGGATTCTTGAGGAATTACTGGTGTGTAGTACTTCACTGGAAGAACATGCACTCAGTTCTGCTGAATTTTGAGTTATTCAGAAATGCATTTATTTCTGAGTTGGCTGAGCAGTTGGAGCATCCTGGGGCTGCAGATAAGTTACTCATCAATCTCTGAAACCAAACTAGTGTGGTTTAAACAGCATCTTATACTAAATAGAATTTATTTATACTGTAACATTTTTTTTCTTTACAAAGCTAAAGCTTTTCTTGTGTTCCAGTTGCATTTTCAAGAGTTTAATTATTTAGGGATTTTGACTAGAGGCTGGAATGATGGTAAGAATCACAAAGATTTTGTAAAGGTCTGAAAAAAATATTTTTGAATGTAATTACTGAAACTATTTTCAGTATTAAGTGACCACAGTGAGCACTTCTATCTAGACCATTTCTCTTTGGTTATATTAACATGTACCCTGGCTTCTGAATTGTGGACAATGTTGAATTTTTTGATAACTAAAAGTACTGTCAATTGCAGAATCTGCCAAGAATGCTTTCTAGGAGTGGTGTTCCTGTTATTTTGTTGACCTTTGTAGAATCACAAAACTTTAATTCCACTTAATCTAAAATTTTGAAAGGCAACATTGATTTAAAAACTAGTAAAACTTATGAGGAGTTACTAAAGGAATGTTTTTGGGTTTTTTTAAGAAATAAGCAGGTATCTAATGGGTTTGAATCTCATGTGATAGTTTAAAAAACTATTAGTAATTGTAAACTACCAGGAACTGAAGAACTGGAAGCAAAATGTTCACTTGCTACCTCTAGCAGGAATTGCCTCTTAATTTAACATGTGTAAAAATTTTAACATTTTTTAATGTACTTAAGTGTAATTAAATGTGAATGTGTAGTAACCATTACTTATTTAAAAGCATGCATAGCATACTGAAATGCTCACTGGAAATTGTTTCTTCTCTTGTTTTCTTGCAGTTTTACAGGTGAAGGTGATAATGAAAAATATGAGAAGGGTGAAGTCAAAGGCAGGGACCACACATTTCATAAATTTATGAAAAGAATCTCTGTGTGTCCTGAACAGATTCTAAGGTATGTTGATCGACTGGTTGTAACAGGGAGATGCAGAGCATAAACATGGATTGTTAGTACATCCAAGTAAACCATTTCATTGGAAATAGATATATATTTTTGTTTCTTAATTTAAAAAAAAAAAAAGTAGCTAAGTGGGCTTTTACCATGCCTCTGGTCAGACTTCAATCCCTGTTTGGGCTTTTTTATACAAAGTATAAGTAGATGAAAAGCATGAGAAGCAAAGCAGGATCAGAGACCCCAGATCTGGCTGTGGGAAACTCTTCAATGTCAGACCTGATGAGAACAGACCCAGGCTGTCTTTGAAGACTCGCTGAAATCCAGGCACAATGTTGAGCTGGGAGTATGATGCACAGTGCTATGCTGTTGTGATAGATTTCCAGGGCTATCTGCTGCCCATAGATTTTGTAACCTTCTTGTCATTGCTTATGTCTCAGACCTCGAGATGTCACTGGAGTAAAAAAAACCCACTTGTTTTAAAAGCCTGAGTTCTGCAGCTTATTGTGATTACCCCCTAGGACCCTGTAATCTTCAATTCTTGCAAATCTATTGGTTTTCCTAGAAAAAAAATAAAAGATTTCATCTCAGAGCAGCTACTTTCCCAAAAGAGGAGTTAATTCTGAGTGAAAAAAGAATTCAAGTCATAAATTATTCATAGTACCAGATAACAGGTAAGGTTTTCACAGCTCATGCCAAGTGTTAGCTTGTCATTGCTTTGTTCCAGGGAGCCCAGTGCAGCCTATCTGCTCGAGCCATCTCAGTGTAGTGACAGGACTTTTGGTTAGCTAGTTTTCAGAACCAGGTGAACTAACTTCACTGGTAGCTTTTTGATTTGTAGAGTTTGAGGGGCTGGTTACACAAAATAAGAAACATGAGAAACTTGCATTGACTATCTCTCAAAGATTATACAGAAAAGTTGCTAATGAAGAGTGAAGTAACATTTTCAGACTCCTTTTTTCACTGGATCTAGCGCTCTGCAATGTTACACTCTTTGAGTTTTCAGTTCTTGTAAAACATCACTTCTGGTGACCCTCATGAGGATGACTAGTTACCAGCTTTATGTAGCCCTCCCTCTCCCCTTCATGGGCATGGTGAGTAAGCCTGCTAGACCCCCGTTTCTCCTGGGCTGCCAGATCTCCATTGAGCTGTCAGTACAGCACAGAATACTGCTTGGCATTCATTGGGAACAGTCTTTGATCTTGGTTTCCTGTTAGTTGTGGAGCTATGATAGCTCTTGTAAATAAAATAGGATTTCTGAGGCCTAACTGCAGTGGTTTTGATACCTATTTTATGTTGAATATCTTTTAACTGCCAGTGATTAGGATTCCATTTTTCAGGGAAGTGTAGTTGGCTAAATTAAATTAGTTGGGTACAGCATATTTTGGAAGTGTCAGTTCAAAGCATTTGTCTCCTTTAAATCCAGTTCTTTCCTTAAGACTTTCCAAGTGTTGACCCTCCAAGTATTTCCCTCTCCCCATCTTTGTTCTTTGTTAATGACTCATCTGAAGCTCAGGCAATGATTCTGCCTTGTAACAATATTTTTTTACTTCAAGCCAGTCAAGAGGTTTCAGAGAATCCTGAATGCTCTTGCCAATGTGTATGTTTATTTATGAAATTTAGATGCAGAAACTGAATACTTTTTTTTCCTTTCTTTTCTTAGATACTCTAGGGGTGGCCAGCCTTTATTTATAACATGTCCTCCAGCCAACATTGACAAAGATATTCCAGCCTGCAGTAACTGTGGAAGCAACAGAATATTTGAATTTCAGCTCATGCCAGCACTGGTCACCATGCTCCAGAGTGATTCAGGTGCTGACCTTTGACCTAGCTGAATGAGTACTAGAAACAGTCACCTTCTTGGTAAAGTTTAGTGAACTGCAGCTTGGGTTATTTCTTGCTAACCACGTGCACTGACGTGCATAACTGCAGTTGTCATCTTATATAGAATCCACTTGGTTTCTATTATAGATTTCATGAAGCAAAAGGTGTAACTAGGGCTTATGGAGGCTATGACTGCAACTTCATTTGCTCACTAATGAACTTTAATAACAGCAATATGGATAATTCCATGACCTTGGGGGTGGTTTGTCTTTATTGTCTCCTGAATGAGGCCTTGGAAAATAGTAAAATGGCAGATGCTTAAGCTGTTTGAAAATTCTGAGTCAGCTTGCTTTAAAATCCTTCAAGTTGGAAGATGCTGTGTACATAGGAGACTGAATATGAAAAATATTTTCTGAACTGGCAAAGACTGAAGCATAGTGATAAGCAACAGCCCTTGAGTATGTCATTTTTTCATACCTTTAATGCTTTCTTTTTAGATCTGTCAGTGGAATTTGGAACTGCTATAGTTTACACATGTGAGAGAAGCTGTTGGCCAACAAATCATCAAACCCCTCTTGAAGAATTTATTTTTGTACAAGAAGACCCAGATCAGAGGTTATTTAAATAAATTGCATTTCTCTGCATAGATGGAAAGTCTGGTTTTGTTGTTTGTTTTTGGTTTTTTTTTTACTACAGGTAAAAGTATGCAACTGTGCCATAGAATTTTCCTCGGATGTGCTGAAAAATGGATTTCATTTGATGACTGTGTTTATTTCCAAGAATAACTGATTGAAGCATCTATTAGCATGCCTCTAAAATGTGTCAACAGAAAACTTGAATACTTTGGTTACATGTGGAAATGTAGGTGTAGAGATTGTTTGATTCTGGTTACACATAATGTTTGGTGAGGAAAGTAAAGGAGAAAGGTTTTCTTACTGTCGTACTGTTAGGATTCATGGGCCAAACAGGATCCAGGTTTTAGAAGCTATTAGCAGGAAGAACTTAATGTAAGCTTGATTTTAAAATCCAAATCTGCTTTATTGTAACCACAGATTAGATTCAGTGGATGAAAGGGCCTTGCTGTTACTACCATCTTCTCACAGCGAAGGCTTTCTGTGTGTTTTGTCACTGAAGGATGAGTTATATTTGCCTGGTTAAATGAGCTCTGACATTACATTGCTTGGGATGGGGAGAAGGTGAAGGTTTTTGTTAGGGTGCAGAATGATGAGGGACATACAGCACAGGCCTTGTTACCACAGCTAATCTTGCTGCTTTAGTTAAAACAGTCTAAATTCTGTTAGTTCCCTGTTGGCTAAATTGCAGTATTTTAATTGACGGAATGGAGGAGTAATTTAAGTTTCCTTAAAGCTTTTTGTACAGGTTGGTTTAATGCTGCAGCAAAAATTAAGGCACTAAAAGTGTAGGTTTAAAAAAAAATATTGGGATGGAACGTGTTCGCAAAGCTACTTTTTTTTCGTTGAGGCAGAATTGTAGCTTACCCCACCGGCGTCCAGCGGCGACTCAGCTCAGGGAGGCTGGCCTAGGAGTTCTACCTCAGGCCT